GGCCTCCACCTACAAAGTGGAACCATATTTGTGGGGTTGGGAAGGGGCTGAGAAAGAAGGTAGCTTTACCCCCTTGACCCTCTACACTACTAAAGTGGGTAGAGCTATCCAGCGTCGAAAGATATCCAAACGTCCGGTGGCCGTCGCCATCCAGAAATGGAAGGACGGAGTTATCGGTGCCAGCTCTATTTCGGAGGAGAATCTCATGAGATTATGGAGAGGCAACTTCCAAAAGCTTCCGGACCAGAAGGCAGCCAGCCTGCTGTGGTTACAGACTATGCAGTCTGTCCCATCTGCGGCCTGGCTCAACCAGAGAGGAATGAAGGTCTCCCTGGTGTGTGTTCGGTGCACGTGGGCTTGGGAGACGACAGTGCATTTATGGATTGGCTGCCCCGTCTCTCTTCAGATTTGGCAATGGTGGAGGAAACATTGGTCTACGGTGAACAGTTCACAGTTCCTTTGGAATGATGCTTGGATTCTAACAGGGTGTACTGACCTGGTACGAAGCTTTGAATCGGGATGGGGCTACATTGCCCAGGTTTGTAGAGGACTTATCATGAATGTGATTTGGCAGGCAAGAAATAAGAAACTGTTCAACAATGAGACTTACCATTTGGAAAAGACAAAGAATCTGATTAAATCACAGATTAGATTGGTGATCATACCGGACTGGCAGAGAAAGGGCCCGTGTTGGTTTCTGCGCACTTGGGCACTCAGCAGTCAATTTGCCTCGGTTTCGCCGGATGGGACATTAGTACTTAGCTCTTGGTTGTATAGGAGCTAAACTTTAGCTGTCCCGGGGCAGCAATGAAGATCTCCGTAGCAGTTCTGACTGGAATTGAACTGCCGCTTTAGGCAGACTGGAGTTAATTGGATAGACTCTTGAGTAAAAGGGGGAGACTTGGTAACAGTATTTTAGTCTGTTGGTCTGCTAGACCAAAGAAAGCTGAAGTAGATAGGAGCTCAGACTTGGGGCTTCCAGATCTGAGTCACATCTGCTACCTCTTGGTTCGGAAGAAGAGATCAGATAATCTGCTTTGCAGAAGCCTATCACTCTTTTTTTGATTTTTTGGAGTACTGTAGAGGAGGGACACTGGACCCGGTTTCCAGAAGCCCACAGCTGGGTAATGGCCCGAGCATGTTAATGTGCCGGGTTGTATTGTTGAGGTGTATTCCCGGGCCTCTGTTTGTCTCTCTCATGGAATGAATTTGAGTCGCTCAAAAAAAAAAAAAAAAAAAAACTTCAAAAAAATTGTTAAGTTTATTTTTCTGCATAACATAGTTTGTTCTCAGATTAAGGGGCTCGTTCGACACTCCTCAGGCCGTCCTCGGGGCCTGAGGAAACTCTCCCATCGTCACCCGAGGAAATTCGCACCGTCGTTCCACTCATCCTCGGAATTGTTCCCCGAGGACGATTCCTCGGGGGCTTCCGCGGCCAGTTTCATATATCGACAAGCGGATGCGGGGGGGGGGGCGAGGTTGGTTCAGCAAGGTGTGCCTATGCCGACATCATTGGTCCAGCTCGGGTGGGCGTCGCAAATTCGAAAGTTGGCAAGGTGTGTCCGTACCGACCATTGCCACGGGCGGCATTTGGGTATATGTGGAAGTGTGGCCACCGCACAAGGAAAAAAAAGAAAGAGAAATAAAAAGGGCAAAGAGAAGAACAAAAGACAAAGAGATTGGGGGCAGCCCACAGATAGCACTTACTGGAATGCATCTTGCCGCAATTCCAGTCTCACACGTGTGAATCAGGAGGGAGACATAGTACTGCCGTTTTCCTGCTTTTTTTCTTTTCTTTTCTTAGAACAAAAAAAACAACAAAAGATTATCGGCTGCACTTGGGGCAGTTCACGACAAGCAGAGTCCAGAATGTATCAACTTGCAATTGTGGCCTCATACATGTGAATCCAAAGGAACTGACGTAGTACACCGTTTTTACCATTTTTTTCTTTTCATTTCACTCTCAACCTAGGCTACCAGAGTGGCCTGAGACCACTTGCCCGGCCGGGCTATCTCTCTCTCTCTCTATATATATCGTCAAATAGAACTGCCTACGGTAAACCGTAGGCAGAGAGGGAGAAGAGGACAACAAACGAGGGGCTGTGACAAACTGTTTCGTCGGAGTTTCACCGACTCATCAGGAGGTATATATCTATATATATATAGGGTCACCAGCCCGTACGTACGGAGGTCCCCGGGCCAACCTCCGTACGTATGGGCTTTCGGGGTCCCGTCCAGGGTCCGAACCCGACGGCGTTCGGCCCCCGCCAAAAACTATTTCGGGGCCTAAAAATAAGTTTTTTTTTTCCTGAATTTTTTTTTGTGAGTTTCACATGCCTATAAATTTTGAAGTCATTTGTCTGAGCCAAAAAGAAATTAAAAATCGCCAAAGATGCCGTGTCAAAACGTGCTCGCTCACTCACTTTTTTTTTTTTTCCACTTCTTACTTTTTGTTTTCACTTTATTATGGGGCCTAAAAACCAAAGATGAAAAATGAAAAATCACCAAAGAGGGCATTTGGATGTGCCAAAAAAAAAATAAAAAAATCACCAAAGATGGCGGTGTCTCGCTCACTCACTGATTTTAATTCTCTTTTTACTTTTTCTTATTTTGGTTATTAGTTTTATTTTCTGTATTTTATTTTTATTTCAAATTGGGTAAGGTATTCGGATGTCATGCTCAGGCAAATTTTGTTTATTTGATTTTTCTCCATAACATATCTTTTTTTCAGATTTTTTCGATTTTTTTTTTTGTTTCTTTTTTTTTTTTTTTTGGTCAGCATTCCTTCGGCCCGAACGGCCGAACGCTTCCCCAAGGGGTCCCGTAGGTTCGGGCATTCGGGTTCGGGCGTTCAGCCCGTCCCGAATGCCGGTTACCCTATATATTTTTATTTTTAATTTGGTGAAGAATTTCGATGTGAATCTGAGGGAAAAGTTGCTCAGTTTATTTTTCTCCACAACTGCCATTTATTTTTCTCCACAACTGCCATAACATAGTATTTTTCTCCACAACTGCCATAACATAGTTTTTTCCGGGTTTTTGTTTTTTGTTTTTTTTGCTAGGACCTTCCCTGGTCCTTGCACAGCCGGGCCGCCCAGGAAAATAGGATGACCGCCCAGGTCCCGGCTGGTAGCCTAGCACTCGACCAAGAAAACGAGAAAGACGTTTACGCTTTCCAGAATGTATCTGACTGCACTTCTGGCCGGGACTGCAGTGGTGGTCCATGAGCGGAAACGACAGGTGGTACCTGTGCCAGCCATTCGCTATCCCGAATGGGTTCCCGTATTTTTCAGTGCCGGCAAAACTTGGCGAGCAGGGTGAAATCTGGGTCGGAAAAAAAAAGTAGCTGAGGTACATGGGCACCTGGGCCTCGGGCCTGACACCTCAAATTCTGGAGGCGCGAAACGAAACCGCGACCGCCGATCTAATTTATCAATGGCGGGCGCGGCGTATGACGTTTCGGCCCCTCGTTCGTTTTCTTGTGGTGACAATTTTTGGACTGCAAGGCTGGGGACATGTACTGGTGGTTTCTCTGTATCGTTCCCATTTTCACAGATGTCCCGAAGGACTTGAGGAAGGTTTTCAGTTCTTAGCATCTTGCATTATTTGACATGAGTTCCCCTACCACACGCTCTTATGGGGAAACAATACTTGTCACACTAAAGTTTTTCTGAGATTTTATGAGGTGTATCTGACTGCAATGACAGCCAGATTCTGTCCAAAAGTGAGATTCCACGCCTCCCCAGATTCTGTCCAAAAGTGAGATTCTGTCACACTAAAGTTTTTCTGAGATTTTATGAGGTGTGTTTGCCTGTGAAAGGTAGTGGTGGGTTAACCACCCCACTATGCACCCCAGCCTCCCCAGGCAAATCCAACCCCCGTAAAAGTACGTTTCTATGTACCCCAGGCAAATCCGACCCCTGTTAAAGTACGTTTTCATAAGTTCTGGAAATCCAAACCCCTGTAAACGTATGTTTCCAAAAGCTGTATACCTTTCTCGGCCTTTTGGCTAAGTAAGATCAAGTGCAATGCATCTGTTATCAGATTAGTTTAATATCTGATCCGTGGTCCACCGGGCCACCTAAAAAAAAAAAAAAAAAAAAAAAAAGTTGTGGAGGCCCGCGTTTACAGGAGACCCCACCCAATAGCTGTGTGGCCACCAGCAAAAAAAAGACCGAAAAAAAGGGCAGGCACCCACACTGGTTCGGTTTTTCTTTTGCTGCGCAGAGCTTGGGGGAGGCTCGCAAACAACAGAGCCTCGGCCGTAATGGTGGTTTGCACAACCATGCATTCATTCCCTTTAAACCTCCGCTACCTACCCCATCTAGGAGCCATACTGCTGAAAAATAGCCGCCAAGCCGCCATCGATATTTTTCATCGACGGTGCCCTCGGCCCCTCATATGAAAAAGGTAGCAGTGGTTTCGGAAAAAAAAAAAAAAAAAAAAAAAAAGAAAGTGGCCATTCATTCATTGACTTTCATTCATGAGAAGGTGTGTGCATACACTGCAGAGCATCTGAATTTCTGAAGCAATAATGGAATGAGAACAAGGCTCTCAGAATATCGTGGTCGCTCCACTTTTCATCGATTTCATTGATTTCTGGAAGATGGACCATCAGATTCAGAAAAAAAAAGGATCAGATTCAGAAAAAAAAAAGGATCAGATTCAGAAAAAAAAAATCAGATTCAGAAAAAAAGGGATCAGATTCAGAAGAGGGGCAGTGAATCTGTCACCAAACATATGTTAGTCACTTGGCGAGACCCCAACCACCCAACATCCCTCAGTTGACATTTCAAGACAAAGCCCAGCACTTGCCTCTCAACGATAAGACCAAATTGTCAAACTCTCTCACTTGCTTTTCATCGAAAATGCTACGACTTCCGATTGCTAGTAATCAAGTCACACATTTTTCAACGTGGAGGGTAGGAAGTCCTACACCTCCTCCTGTCATCTCCCTCCTCCTCCTCCTCCTCCTCCTCCTCGTCTTCACCCCTCCATCCGCTACTATAACCTCTAGGAGAAGTGCAACCTAGGAGAATCTGAAACACACCCATTACAAACTTACTTCAAAGTTCATACAGATATTAACACATACGCCGCCGCCTTTTTCCTCCTCCTCCTCCTCCTCCTCCTCCCCCTCCCCCTCCTCCCCCTCCCCCTCCCCCTCCACCTCCACTACCACCATCACTGCCAATTACCACCTTCGAAAAGAGAAAGAGAGCCACTGAGGAAATTGCAAAACACGCATCCAAAATGATCCAATACAATTGCTTCATACATGTGTGGGCATCATCAGTCATCAGACTGGCCACCTCACCAACACTGAAAGGACAGCCAACACCACGCTTAAGGGAGAAAACTACTTAACCACAATGCATAACTACTTAACCACAATTCATACGCTTCAGAAAAGGTTGCAATCGCTCATCCACACGACCCCCATTGCTGCTGAGTCTGCTGGCGCTTGAGGGAGAAGCGACACAAACTTTCCTTCTTTTTTTTCTTTTTTTTTTTGTAACGCATCCACTGCAAGGCCCGTGGTTGTCAGCTGATTCTCGTTGGAGATGCGATCCCCGCAAGCCAAAGCCAGCGCTCCGGCCTCAGAAAGACAAATTCATCCTCGTCCATTCTCCCCCCCACCACTGTTGCACTATTCCGCCTACGTATGCCCTGTCCCGCCCTAACACCCTTAACCACACAACTACTATCAGTCCGTCAGGGCAACGACTCTACAATGAATGCTCGACGACTCTTCGCTGGAGATGCGATCCCCGCAAGCCAACGCCAGCGCTCCGGCCTCAGAAAGTCAAATTCATCCTCGTCCATTCCCCCCCCCCCGCCACCACTGTCACACTATTCCGCCTACGTACGCTCTGTCCCGGACCGACACCCTTAAAAACCTGACAATTACTATCAGTCTGTCACGGCAGTGACAATACAATGAATGCTCGACGACTCCTCGTTGGAGATGCGATCCCCGCAAGACATCAGTCTGTCACGGCAGTGACAATACAATGAATGCTCGATGACTCCTCGTTGGAGATGCGATCCCCGCAAGACAACGCCAGCGCTCCAGCCGCAGAAAGGCAACTTCATACTCATCCATTCTCCCCCCCACCACTGTCGCATTATTCGGCCTACGACCGCCGCTCTGTCCCGCCCTTGACACCCTTAACCTGACAAATTACTATCTATCAGTCTGTCAGGGCAATGCCACTACGATAAATTGAATTCCCCAACTACATCGATCCGCGGCACACTCGTCACTGTGGTCAACCAGATGGGATGCGATCATCGGACTCACCCCCTTTTTTTTTTTTTGTACTCGCCTGGAGATAGGCAGTAACTGCCATTTGTAATTCCAGATCATCGTACGGCCATAAAAGCCCTCAGACTGCAGAGAGGCACAATTATTGGCATGCTCCGAACCCACAGCTGCACAACAGCACGGAGACGAAACCGCTCGAGACATCACAGAGGCTGGCCGACAAGATACCGAAGAGGACTAATGCAGCACTTTCTCGGTAAAAAGCGAGGGAAGAAGGGGGGGGGGGGGGGGGGGGGGGGGGGGGGGGGGGGGGGGGGGGGGGGGGGGGGGGGGGGGGGGGGGGGGGGGGGGGGGGGGGGGGGGGGGGAGGAGGCATGTAATACCATGGACATCTGGTTCTGTAAAAGTGTGATAAGCACTGTGGGACTGGTAGCATGGGAACAGAGCCCAGAGGGTATAGGACCAGACTCACTGGTAGCGACCACCAACGTACAGAGGCCTCGAGCGGGGTGAAGGTCAGTGTAAGCTCAGCAAAACACGACGGACACCTAAAAGTCGAATATGGACCTAACACATCCGAACCGTACTGAAGATATATGAATGAAAATGAAAAAGAAGAGAGCATTCGCTGTAACCTGTGAAGAGTCTAGCATAGACGGTCGTACTCTCCGAACCATGTGAGATGGTCGCCCATCACGTGGCTCTCCCGCTCGTAAACTCGGGAAAACACAAGGAACAACTAATACCGTGGACACCTAGTGCGTGAAGCATATGACCAGCAAACCGGAAACTGATAACAGAGCACAGGGAGACCAAGGGCCCAAGGGACCAGAGCTGCCAACCTACAAGCCGAGAACTTTCAACCGGAAGCGTTTCGACTTCGACTTTGTCGTGCGCAAGGGGTATAACCGCAAGTGACGTCGGCGACGAGGACCCAAATCGCAAACTGCTGGACACCCCCCCTGGTCCTAAGGATACCTCACGCGGGTACGACTCTCCGAACCTACAAGCCGAGAACTTTCAACTGGAAGCGTTTCGACTTCGACTTTGTCGTACGCAAGGGGTAGCCGCAAGTGACGTGGGCGACGAGGACCCAAATCATGAACTGATGGACACGCCCCCCTGGTCCTAAGGATACCTCGCGCGGGTACGACTCTCCGAAGAACTTGTATATAGACATATATACTCTGTATATATGCTGTTTAATTGACTCTGAGCGAGAGACGATATTGTGCCATAAAAAAAACAATGGGCACACGGTCTCCACTGCTCAAGACACAACGCAGTTGTCGTCGTTTGGTTTGTCCCCTTTCTTCTCCTTCTTCCCACTCTTGCGCTTGGATTTCCCTCCTTTGCTATTCTTGGCCTCTTTCCCTGGTTCTGCGCCTTCCACCCCCTCTTCACTCTGTTCGCCATCCGTCGATTGGGCAGGCCCGACACTTTCCACTGATCCGGGACCGCTGTCGGATCGTAAAGGTCCCGGCAAGGGAGGCTTTCTTGATGACAGCGGAGGTCCGCCCACATTCTCGACCGCCACATCGCTTGGTAGATATGGACTATCACCTCCCCTTCCCATTCCCATTCCCTCAGCGCCACCCTCAGCACCCAGAGGAGGCAAGGGTACCCTGCTAGGGGTATTCCTTGATATAGCCCCCTCATTCTGCACCCATTCAGACAAGCAATTTAGAGATGCAATGGTGTGAAAAGGTGGGAATGTTTTACCAAAAACTCAAAAAAAAAAAAATTTGACAGAATTGACGAGAACACACCATATATTACATAGAGCCTCGCTCCACTGCGCGTAGTCACCACATGCACAAAAGACAAAACATATGGTGGCACGTCTTTCCAGGAATCCAGGTTCTAGTCGAAGCTTCATTGTCATTTTGCACATTTGGTGAGTGGTGGAGCGAGGCCCATCGTGACAGGACCACAATGAGAATGGAAACAACAACATACCGGGCCTCGCTCCACGGTGCACCACATGCACAAGAAACAAAAACGATGGCAGTGCATCTCCTCCTGTTCTAGTGGTAGGTTCATTCTCATTTTGCATATTTATCGAATGGTGGAGCGATGCCCACTTCCGTTCAGACAAGTAACGTCTTGGCGCAGTGTCGATCCATAAACCGAGTGACAACAGACCGACATGAAAGATTACGAGCTTAAGTGATCACAACATCATGATGAGAAACAAGCTGAACAGACATACCAGAAAAATACAAGAGAAACAAGATGAGCTCGAATCAACACCCTGTCAGCCGCAAAAAAAAGTTGAAAAAACCATTAACATATACATATGCCTCCTGATGAGTCGGTGAAACTCCGACGAAACAGTTTGTCACAGCCCCTCGTTTGTTGTCCTCTTCTCTCTCTCTGCCTACAGTTTACCGGGCAGTTCTGTTTGTGACGATATATGCTACGACTTCGCTAGCTTCCTGCTACGGTTTTTTCCGGTCGGGTATGCGGCAGTGGTCGGGGCCGTTACTAGGCGGCCATGCTGTGCCTTTAGTGCCAGCGGCGTGTCTGGAGTGTATTTTTTGGCTGTGACAGACCTTTCTTTGTTTCGTGGATGTTTTGCTGGCTTGTGATGGGGTGTGAACCGACAGTCTGTAGAGTTTCCA